GGAGCAAGAGCCCTCCCGCCGGGGCCGTCGCACCGTAACGGGAACCGAGGCTGGGAACTTTCTGTCTGTCACCTGCGTTGCCCTGGTTCCCGACTGAGGGAAATGCAGGTGGGTTTTCAAATTGCAGTATTGAAGCCTGCACAGAACCTGCAGTAGTGAACTTACTCCTCCAAGTTCTTACCGTGTGTCTTCTTTCTAGGAAAAATGATTTCTGAAGGCAGCTCCTTCGTGAAGGGCGTGGTGCTCGGAGGAGCTTTCTGCATGTTGGTTACACTCCTTGGACATATCAAGGTGGGCCACGGGACTAAAGCCCATCACCACGAGCACCACCACATCCAGGCTCCCAACAAAGAAGATGTCTTAAACCTTTCAGAAGGAGAACGTGCGGAGCTTAGTAAAAACATCCGCGTTTATTGTATCATCCTTGTGAAACCGAAAGATCTGGGGCACTGGGCTGCAGTGAGAGAGACATGGACCAAGCACTGCGACAAGGTGGAATTTTACAGCTCTGAGAAGATCAAAGTGTTTGATTCTGTAGCCCTCAACACAAATGATGTGTGGGTGATGATGAGAAAAGCTTACAAGATTACGTATGAACAACATAAAGATGAATTCAAATGGTTCTTCCTTGCGTATCCAACAACATTCGCTATTATTGAAAATCTAAAGTATTTCTTACTGAAAAAAGACCCCTCACAGCCTTTTTATTTAGGGCATACTGTGAAATCTGGTGACCTTGAGTATGTAGATGGTGAGGGAGGAATTGTCTTAAGCATCGAATCACTAAGACGACTCTCCTATGTTCTTGAAGACTATGCTAAGTGTCCGGAGCAGGGAGGTATGATTTGGAAACTTGCTGAGGATAAACAGCTAGCGATCTGCCTGAAGTATACTGGAGTGTTTGCCGAGAATGCGGAAGATTCAGAAGGAAAAGACGTCTTTAACACGAAATCAGTCAGTACTCTCATTAAGGAAGCCATGTCTACCCACCCTCACCAGGTGGTGGACGGCTGCTGCTCAGACATGGCCATCACCTTCAGCGGACTGGCCCCCAACCACATGCACGTGATGATGTACGGGGTCTACAGGCTGAGGCCCTACGGCCACACGTACAAAGACGCACTTGTCTTCTTGCCCCCTGAAGGCTCAGACAACGACTGATGTCTCTTTAGAGAAGACTTGGAACCATGGAGCCACCTCTTCTCGCAACACACATTTGTATGAACAGATTTGACTTTTCTATCTGGTGGTACTGGTGTACGATTTTTTATTTTTTTTTTTTTGCACATTGAGGTTTGGTAAAGCTCTTAATTTTAAAAGTGGAAGGAGAACTTTTTTCTAAATGCTTTTATACAGGAATGCTTCTGGCTTTTGACAGTATTGGAATGAAATTATAAAGTAATTGTTAATGTTTATGATAAAAAGTAATTAAATTTATATGGGGGGTTTGTACATGTAAATATTTATTAATGAAAACTAATGAACTTTAGCCTACCATTACAAATATATTTTTACAAGACTTTGATTCTTTCAGTTCCTCCAGGCATTTCTAGAATGTCTTTATATCTTTCTAAAACGTACCAATAAAACTGACTACAGATTCAGTCTCCAGGACTAACTTGAAGCTATTTATTTCCTTTACACTAAAATGGAAAATAGCTTGAGCTATGCTGTTTACACAGCACCTGTTGCTTTATGTGCAGCCTCCTAACCCAGTAAGGAATTAGCAGGAAGCAAGGTGACAAAAGCACTGTTGGAAACTTGCCGCAGAGTAATATTAAGTGACCTTTGCACTGCTGGTTTTAAGCAAAGAGATAACTATATTTGAATAAGTATTAACACAGTTAAGTAGCCTGTTAGCATAAGAGTAATTGCTCATTTAAAATTTCACTTCATATATAAGCATGTTAGAATAAAGGTTCAGTGTTATTAGCAACACTAACAGGAGTGAAAATAGTGTTTATAAGGAAGAAGTTGGTCACCTGTCAATAAGAGTGTAGCAGCTGTGTTTACAGATCAGTTTAACACCAAGATGCAGAAAGAGCAAAACATACTTTGCACTCCCAACTCTGAGTATTAAGCAAAACAGGCACAAGAAAGCAATATGAGAACTACCCGGTACTGGGGGAGTAGGGGGGTTGTGTTTGGGGTTGGTTTCTTTGGTTTTTGCTCGCTTCTTAAAATTGAGTGCACTTGAAATCAGTTTTATGCAAGTTACCAGGTCACGCTCCCTTCCAGTCACAGCAAATGGGGATAAAAAGCACTTCAATATTTACTCGGTTTAGAATTCACTGACCTGACCTGGATGCTTCAAGACTAAGGGAAGGTACTGCATCTACCAGCTACATCACAGGCTTTGTTGGCAACACAGTATCCAGAGAAGACCTGAGAAGGTGTCACCTTTTTTTAAGACGCTTGCAATATCTCATCCTCTCCTGAGCTGCAAGGAGGCAGATGGGGAAGTAAAACAGCTGCTTCCGAGCTGATGAGAATACCCACTTCGTTTTTGGTTTAAGCGTCAGGTCCTTCAGTTTTGACAACTGCTCTGACCCCCAAGCAAGCTCCCACAGCTCAGCTCTTTCAGAAGGTGCACCTTTTGCACATTCTCTCCTCCATGTCAGTCAGAGCTCATCTGACACAGCAAGACGTGTCTTGCTGCCAAAACCTAAATAACAGTTGCGTTTTAAAGATATTGCCAAATTGGTATACAAATTACTTTAGGCATGATTTAACTTCTATCTTCTTAAAGAATCATTTTTAAAGGTTGACAGTACTCTGGCAAAGCCAGACGCTAATTTTGATTTCAGTGGTGCTTTTGATATTAAAGACAGTTCTGACTCCATCGCACAACAGCAGTCACAGGGAAAGGAAGAAGAATGGGAGTTAACAATTCAGAATAAATCTCAATTACCACAGATCTGAGAGGCACTGTAACACAACAGATGAGATGGAAGGGAAAAAAGGAAGCCAGGGAAGGCAAGATTAGCTCATTTTATGCAAAAAAAAGCACCACTGAAGCACAAACTGGTTCCCCACAGCTCTCACAAGAAATTAGTACATTTATAGCAGTCTTTAAGATGCACAAAAATGTCTGTTCGCATCCTGAAAGAAAGGTCTGAGGTTTGACCAAACTCTTCTGCAACACTGCTGTAATAATCACCTTATTTTCTGGTTTCAGATTTGCCCTGTCATTACAGTGTGATCTTGTAAATAACTTTACAGCTTAGAAGTAGCACATACTAGGTAACACGCTCCATCCCTCATGTCTTAATTTGACTTTAGAATCAGATGGAGAACACGTCTGCCACTAACAGCACCGACACAAGTCACTTGCATACAAACTTCCGTTCTGCCATTCTGAAGTACAAGTGTTAGAATAAAGACTTGAAATATTAATAAATGCTTCCAGAGACAGAGTTGTGAGTGGTAGACCTTGAAGTTTCCTTAGTTTATTAAAGGATTCCATGGCACAGGCTGTTTTCCATAAGAATAGCTTTGGGTACGCAGTCGCTGAACAAAGAGTTGGATTATCCGGACAGTGACACGGTGCTCTTTAACCCGTTCTGCAGCTGTACATACATGTGGCAGTGGGCACAAGCTGAGATCTCTTTTGAAGTTCCACCTGAAGAAGTTGCTCCTGGCTACACTGATAAGCATGTTTTGCTATCGTGCCTCTGTTAAACAGTGATTTTGTTTCTGCTCCTAAAATAAGAAGGCAAACGGGGAGTAGAGCATCAGGCACCAAGTTGGCACACACTCCAGTTGGAGTATGCCCACTGTTACTATAAACTCCACTATAAGGAAAGCGGTATCAAACAGTGTTGGCAGGTAGAAATTTGAACATATATATATTCTTCAGATATGAACTAGCATAAAAGAATTTCTAGTCCACATACCAGTCTAAGTTTGTAAATCCTATACAGATAAATGCATATTAAAAAGAGAAAAATCCTTAAGTAAAATACTGAAGTTAATGCTGTTAATAAATTAAGTTAAAAAATAAATGTCAAAAAAAAAATCTGATTTCTCCATATTCAAGAAACAGGTAGACTAGCAAGATGCTCATCAGAAGAAAAAAAATATCTGAAATGTTTCAGAGGTTTTATAAACCATATTAATTACATTTCACATACACTTTATGTTACTCTTTTGGAAGAGCATAAAAATGTAAACATTTCTTGGCTTTTTCCTCCTTTTTGTTTGAAATAGTCTACTCACAGTCCATGCGGGATCTTTCCATCAGATATCTTCAGTCACTGAAGACTTGCGTTTTAGACAAAACGAAAGAACCGTAACAAAAAGAAATCTAGAAAACTATTGTAGCCTAACAGTACTTTTGCATTCACTTGATTTATTTAGCATAGCCACAGAACGAAATAATTTGTACATTCAGTCACATTAAAAACAAGGAATTACAAAGCAGTCCACATTTATTCTAAGTGCATTCCTTTGGAGTAACACAGTTCCTTTTGTTTCATTTGTATGTCTTCATATGCCAAAGGCCATCATTTAAATAGTGGATATTTTCAATACCAATCCCTTTGTTGACCTTTTCACTGTAGAAGGAGGAAAAAAGTACACAAGTGTTACCTTGGTCAAATATTAGAGCGGTACAAAATACAATATTTAAAGTAGAAAACGCAACATCTGTCAACTGCAAGGGTAGAAGCTATCACCCATAGTACACACCATCTTTTAATCTTCAGCAGCAGGTGTACAAGAAACAATATTTATTATTGCATGTACCCAACATTGCTGAATGATAAGAGGGCAGTATTTGCCTTCCACGTTTTGTCAACAACCTTCTGCAGTATCTTTGGGGGAGGTAGTTCTTCAGACAACACTTGTGTTACTTAATTTGGGCATTTCTCTGTCAAAATAGCACAGCAGTTGTGACTCTGCCCCTCCTAGCACAGGCAGTGGTGTAACACAGCTGGAACGTGGAATTTGACAAGTTCTGGTTCCAAGTGTGCCACTGACACAGTCAAGTGCAAGTGAGCTGCTTTGCTGCCAGCTCCTGGACATCTGCCCACTTAAAAAAACTATAAATACTAAATTTATGTGCCAAGGACTTGCAGCACATCGCAGACACACTATCCTTCTGTATCTTTTGAGTCATGTCCTCCTTTAAAAATGATTGGTTTTTGCATTGCACTGGATTTGCAATCATCTTTTTTCCAGTACATTATTCCACAGAAAAGTCTAGTTTTGGCACAATAAACAAGACAATTCTCATTATTCTAGGACTGAGAACAAGCTTTATTCCCCCGCAGAATATAGTTTTCTGTATTTACTCTAAGTGTTCCATTACTTATACAACTTGTCCAGAAGTAATCAGGAAGGAAAATACTGCTGTGTTAACTGCATTAAGACACATATCAAAATCAGACCAAATCAGTGACTGAAATCATGTTTCACAATTTTCTGTTTTAAACAATATCACACAAAAAGGCATGCTGCTGGCTGGATAGATCAGTATTGTTTCTTTGTCCTCTCCAGTTCATGTTGCTTCTCATGGGAACAAGATATTCAGCTGCAAGGCTGCTGAATCTGAAGCTAGAACTAGGAATACTGATAATCTTGGTTTGCAGGGATCCCAGCAGATCCCCGTGTAGCTGCTCTTTCACCTTCTCCTGGAGTCTTTTGAAGGCACTACGAAGAATCCTGAGGAATACAACTCCTCCACAGTTACAGCAGGTCCAAATCCAGGTTGCTGCAGTCACACCCTATCCTGGTCCTCTGTAACCCATTCCCACCTCTCCCCAGTGTGCTACAAGTATGACCAAGGACCACAGAGACACCCACTACAGAAGATGGTCCTGCTGTGATTTATCCCCACCAGAAAAGACCAGCTTCACCAAAATGAGTTTCCTCAGCTGCCCAAATACTAGATGGGGCTGGAACCAACACAGCCCAAACCCGCTGGGTGCATCTTGCATCTTGCCGCAAATTGTTACAGAACTTAAAAGAGCACAGTGGTTTAGCCATTTACAATTCAGCGCTATCTGAACATGAAGAACAACTCACATCCATTTCTATTCTCCGTTTTCCTTCTCAAATAGTTTTCAGTTGATGTTTATCCCCTGAACAGAGCTCTACGTTTCACAAGAACCTCAGCTAAGCTTGGAATGCTGCGTGTGGGTCCAAGGCAAAGAAAAAGAGAAGGCCAGAGGAAAGCTCAGCTGGTCGCCCAAGTACTAGCAGGACTTTAGTCTCTGCCGTCCCTGCAGACAAAAATTGCTTTCATGTGTTCAGCCCCTTCAAGTTGCATCCCCTGCCCAGCCCACATAGTACTCTATATAAATATTTCTTCATTCAGCAAAATCTTTGAGAAAGTACAATCATAGAACAAGAAATACCAACTTTCAGCAGCAGTACTGATGTTGTGTCTTAAAATCCACATTCACATGAAAAGAACTATTTTGATTTCATTTGGTAAACCAATAAGCAGGGAAGACCTTCCCTGACTCCTTTCCCTGAATACTAACCAACACAATGAAATCTTTAAAACTTCTGTACTTGAATGACATATGCTGCAACAGTGATGCAGTAACTTTGACAGTGGTGCTTATATTTCAACTTAACATAGGAATAATGACATGAAACAGGTTATATTTCAACTTTTAAGACTTACATGTCCTCAGCTGACATCTTCATTACTCCTACACATAATGCATGTTGTTTTCCCTCTGCCATTATTGCCTACAAATTATTGCTAAGGAAAACAGTTTTTTTAAAAAATACACTTTTTCAGAAAAGTAAAAGCAATTACAGGGGAAATGACTTTCCAAAAAAGTTTCAAAATCCCACGTTAAACTTTTACCCTTTTAGTAATTCTAGAGCTCTATCTCTTAAAGATAAGCAAAACAATGGACTGCATTTAACAGTTGAATCACAGTGTGCAGAACAAAGCCCGTATTTATGAACTTCAAACCGCAACTACAGAAAAAGATCTCCCAGCACTACACTCCAATTCTCTCTCTGCCTAACATGAAGAGATGATAGTCTCACCCTTTCTGAAATAAAACTGCACATTTGTGGGGTCGTTGTAGGTTCCAAGATACAGAAGAACTGAGACACATATTAAAAAACCCACAGGTCCTGAGATCAGATGTGTCCTTTTCAAAGTTTAGGAACACATGATGCTAACTGCTGATCTCTTCCTGTAGCATCTCAGAACAAAAGCAGCACAGCTTGGTGTTACTGGTGCTGTATTTGCTCAGGGTTCTGTTCTCAGTCATATAATGAGCGAGAGTGTATTAGCATACTTTCCTCATTTCACGTATATTAATTTCATCAGACACATAGAGCCAGCTCTCACTACAGCAAAGCTGATCTCTAACATCTTTCCAAATTACTTAGGAACAGGAGCAAATTCTTCTATATCTGAAGGAGGCAGAAGACTGATGAAGGAAGACAGGGGACAAATTACCCTGCACCTCATCTATTTTTACAATTCTGCATAAAACCACAAAGGAGCTCCACTTATCAGTTAGATTAACGGAACAGCATCCCACCCTAGCAGGAATAGTTACTTCGTTTGGAACATCACAGCAAGCAAAAAAAAGAAAAAAAAGAACAATTTTAACCTTGCCAAATAACATCTGAACCTCTGTAGCTCCTTTCTGATTGCTAGTTATTCCACGAAATACCACTCAAACCCAAAGTAATGGAGATTACAATCAGCTGAGAACACAAGCACAGAAATTTAACTGATCTCACAGCAAGCAGTAATTCATAGTTAAAGAAGGATACGACAACAGTATCAACGGCAGCAGGGTAAAGTTTTGCTCCAGGAGACGTCAGGCCAGGGCACATTATATTAGCTCCACTTAGTACAAATTTAATGGCGCCTTTATCAACCTGCTGATGTGGTAGAATAAATGGGTCTAGGAGGGGAAAGATACAGCATGAAAATTAATATGGTAAGAGGACAACAAGAATAACTCATTATCAAGTCAGTTTAGATGGAGCAAGTAGATATATAGTTTGCTGTGAGGGTAGGAAGTTTGAGAAATAATTACCAGAGCCCCTGCTGGGCTGCACTGTCCTGAAAGGACGTGAGAACTGTTCTCCCAGATCCCACCTTTTATTTGAGAACCAAAGGGAAATCCAACACTGGGCCTATGCCTCCTGCATACTCATATACTCATATAATGAGTAACAACTTTAACAAGTTCCCCCAGTGAAATCAATCATGCAAATGCCCACATATTAAGTGGTCTTAAAACCAAGGAGTCCAAAATCTCTCACACTGCACATATAACCTCTTACAGGACAAAGAAACAGTTTGTTAGCAAGACAAAAAAAGGCAAATATGGACAACATATATGAAGGCTCTCAGCTGTCCAAGCCAGCCTTCAAGTGCACACACCTTCCTGCAGTATTTCAAACACTGAGATTTGACTGAGTAACATTTTTAGGGACACCTACGCTCATTCAAATCAGAGTAACAGAATCAAGCAGAACAGTGAGAACAGCGAGAAAATTAATGCTAGAGTAAATTGTAAAAAAAACATGTATCAAATTCTTACAGGAGACAAGTTCACTCTACATCATTAAACTCACAATTAAAGAGCCTACAAGTACTTGAAAGGAAACAAAAAGGAATTAAAAGAAGACTTGAAAGAACAAAGATAGGAACTATCAACAAGAAATTTGGTTCTCTGTCCTACAAAAACCTCTCTCAAGGGTGTTTTGCACAGCTTTGCTCAATTTAATTCTTAGAAATCAAAGTGCAGAAAGATTAACATGCGGCATTACAATAATTATGGAAGAAGCAATCCAGAAAGCATACCTGAAACAGCAAAGCAATGAGTTACAGTTGAGAAGGTATACTGTATCTTTAAGGCCTATTTTTGAATATATATATATATATATGTATACACACACATAAGTATTAAGTTGGGGGTTTTTATTGGGTTCTACAGAAGTCTGTGGGATCATGCACTCGCTCCCATTTCCCCACCACCATCCTCAGGAAACTTACATTTGTGAAGCAGCCTTAGTGTTGGGTAAAAAATCCCTTCTCTTTGTCTGAAGAACAGCAACTCCCCATTCACGGTGAGGATTTCTATATGTTCATGACTGTAAGATTAAAAAAAAAATATTCCAATAACTACTTGACACTTCATAAGAGTTTGGTCTATCTTGGCATCTGAGAATCAAGACAACCAATTAGTAAGAAAATTTAAAACTATTATCTTTTATATGGCTTGCTCTTCAACACTGGCCTGCACACTTCCTTCCCCTTAAAAGAAAAAAAAAAAGTCTACAAGCATCCAGCTGTTCACAAGCTGCATTTCTCTGGGTTGTTTTAAAGAATGGACAAGAAGGAGAAATCAGTAAAAACATATTACCCTCTATTTAAAAAAAAAAAGAAAATAATCCAGATAATACATGGAAGCCCAAAAACAGTAAAAAAACCTGCTACTGAAAGCTATCCAAACAAGTTTGAGCTTCCATATCTATAAAGCTGAGAGCTTCCTTTTATCCACAGTTTGACCCTGCCAAGTCCCCAAATATGCTGCACATTCACTACCAGGCAGCATCTTTGTTTTCCTCAGCCACTCTACTAGCACGCCTTCAAGTGCACGATGAGCACACGTGCACTTTCTGATGGACTATTATCTATTAAGAAATTATGGATACTTTTAAAAAAAACTAGTTTCATCTACCATACAAAAAAAAATTAAAAAGTAATGCTATCACCTTAGAAGCAAAGTTTAAGAGTAAAGAAACTTACCATCTTACTATTTTGACTGGGTCTTTCTTTGGCATAATTTGGTTTAGCCATGGTTCAATAACAGGAAACTGGTCTATCAGCTGATTCTTAATACCTTTAATAACTGAAGTCTTCAGCTGGATGCAGTTTGACACATTCTCCTTTTCATCAAATCTGTCAAGTGAGTGAAAGTATTTCAGAAATGCACAATTTGCTGCCCAAAAGATGCTGTCTCTCAGCAGCACTCTTCAGCAATAAATTTGCTACAAAGCCTTAGCAGTACTGCATCTGTCCAACTTTCAAATCTAAGATTTCATGAGGATTAAATTTTTCCCCTGGGAACCTTAGGCTGGGAGAAGGCAGAGGGGTTCCCGCTAACAGGCTTTGTCCCTAAACTCTACTTGCCCCCATGAAACATGTTTCTAGTCCAACAGATACACCTTCGTACAGAGAATTATTCCATTTTGCTGGTACCACAAACACCTACAGACGCGTTTATGTCACCACTGACAAATGAAGCGCGCTCTGTACTACCCCAAAGCTCAGCACGCTAATGACTCAGCTTACTTTTTAGTTTTGGGGGGG